TTGTCGCGTATCGGGCGTATATCGCGACGAATAAATTCTCGACGTATTCGATGTAGCGAATTTTATTTCACATCCGCTCTCACAATCACCCAATTTACAGATTTACGATTACTGCTATCTGCAGTATCACAATTAGTACACTCCTAATGCCACAATACAACTGACTAGTTGCTGGGTAACTCGGCGGTAGCTCCAGGACTCGCTGACTGTCTCAGTACAACTCAGTACAACTAACTCTGAATAGCCTTCGCTGCTCCGTATGTAGCCTCGATCGGACAATACGGGAAAACGGCCACGTAATAGGCACCCTTGTTGCTATGTCGCTGTGTTGCTATGTAACGCTAGCGGAGGTAACCGTTGTTACTACTTGGTGACGTCACCGCTGTTGACTTGCGTTGCCTAGCGACCAGGATGCTAGGACTCGGCTAACATCGGCTCGCTTCGGCTTCGCTCGGCGCATCACGGCTGGCGGGGGGGGAGGGGCGTCATCCCTAGCTCAGCACGTCACAATATAGATACCATAAAGAGAAACACAAAAACTTTAATCGGCGCAAGTAAGGAGGTTGATCTAGAAGTACACACAGAGAAAACTAAGTATATGTTACTGTTTTGTCACCAAAATGCAGAACAAGAACGTGACATAAAGATAGGCAAAGATGTTTTAAAAATGTGCCACATTTCAGATATTTGGGAACGACGATAACAAACCAAAACCTGATTCAGGAGGAAATTAAGGAGATTGAACTCCGGTAATGCTTGCTACCATTCAATCCAGAAACTTTTGTCTTCTCATCTGCTGTCCAAAAGCATAAAAATTGGAATATACAAAACTATAATTTTGCATATGGTTCTGCGAACACAGCTGTACGAAAATTTGTATCTTATCTTCGAATTTGAGGTCCTACAAGGTCCACTAATAAAGAAAAACTTTCAATGCTCATTCTGTAAAATGATATGAACAGTTCTATATCCTGATTAAGTTCTTTCGAAACAATATAAACACCTGAGTTGTCGCGAAAGAACGGGTACACCCAGTGTTTCCGTTTCTCCTGTCTTCTCTTACCCCTTCTGAACGACAACCATATCATTACAGGAACAATATTATTATCTGACATTCCAGAAGAGAAGGGCACGAAATTGGCTGGTAAACACACCCACTTGAAATGTTGTGAGCAACTAATCGAAAGTAAGTTTCGTCAGTGTGCGCCTGTTAATTTGGAAACCAGTTGCCTGCTTGAAATCGGCGATATTTCTCGGAAATCGAGGTTGCCAGTTTCATTGGTGCGCGTCCGGGCTTCTACACACCATTCTATACGTCCACCCACCTATCACAATTTGAGACCTGAGATCTGAGGTTCTGGATAATATCGTGCAGTCTGGTAGGTGATTACCAACATTTCGGAGGAATCCTATGCCACCATCTTCCGGGTAGAAGTGACATGCAAGGAATCTGCAGGTTCAATCTTTATTGTAAAAGTGAGTTACATAGACCTTAACGATGGAGGCAGCAGATTCCGCTGAAATGCTGAATCCCACATACCAGACTACACGGGGCCATGACCCAGATGATCACATTCGAAATACTAAGAAATTATTCTTCCCGTGTAATTTCATTTACTTCTCCAAGACATATCCTCTGAAAGGTGAGTGATGCAGTGAACTTCCCTAACAGAGAAAACAACAGGATGTCTGTCACACACATACACTGAACTTTCCTTTGCCAAATTTATAAAGTACGTGCTCATAGCTTACATATAACATTATCACGATCTTATCTGCACCATTATACTGTGAGACCCTTCGAATGATGGTCCGCGGGAGAAGCGCAATGTGGAAACAGCATTAGTGTCGTGAGAAAGCAGGCCTACGCAGTAAACATTACGAACTGGCTGCCAAACATCAAGTGTATAATCCGTACCGCTGTCAACGTTGAACGTTACTGAGTTCCCCGGAAGCTGAGCCACATATATTTTGCCAACAAATAGCCGAGTGAATTGCATATTTCTCGTAAATGAGATTATAATCAAAATGGCACTGCATACTACCTTTCTATAAAAGTAACAGACTTAATATCAACATCGACCAGAACGCTCTTCCAATTACAAAACGGATGACATTCACCTCACGAAATTACATGAACTGCATACGGAATTCTGTTTTCTTAAGACGTGTACTGGTCTTCTGGGTCACACAAATGATTACACGGCTTTAATAAACCATTCCCCCTCACCCAATATGGGTATCAGTTTTGGTTATCAGCTACACCTAACTTCACTAAAATGAAATCTTACCACACTTGTGGAACAATATGCGGTTCGTATACTACACACACAAATATATAAAAAAAAAAAGGTTTCAATACGGTAACGTTATCCAAACCAACAATACTCTGATATATTGGGTTTCTGGACTTTATCCATCGTCCCAGTTTTTAAGATAACTGGGACGATGGATAAAGTCCAGAAACCCAATATATCAATGTGTTATACACCATCGTCAGAACCCTATAGCAACTACAACAATACTCTCCTTTTAATAACAATGAACTGATAAACGGAAAGAACAAAAGATATTGATCACAATAAATACCCTAGAAGTGCTCAAAATATTATCGTTCCACAGTTATAAATCAAGGTGTAACTCACCATATTCTTTGTTTACTGTCTGTTGATATTCAAGTCTTGCCATTATTCGTCTTCTTTCCTCACCTCAGTCCCATACACTGCCGCAGTGTGTTACCCTACTCTCATCTACTCATTGCAATATACTACACTCTAAACGCTCTAAACCCTCGTCTGCCACCACCTGACTAACACTTGTTGGCCGAAGATTCCAAGATGCTAGGTCTAATCGCCGACAGCACCACGATAACTGATTCAGTTCCTTCTGTTCCTCTTGTCACGTGCAATCTGAGTAATATCGTTCTGACGGTTCTGACGCACGAGTGCACAAAGCTCAAGGAAACCAACCTCGTACCACATCCTTCCCCAATATTTACTTCTTCGGGCCCATTCGGGTCCAGCCGAGATCTCTGTCTCTAGCCGCTTCTTTCAGTTCCCCCTCCCCTTTCGACGCTCTCGACCTCTCGACGGCCTGATCACATGGGATACGCTAAAATAATTATCTCCCCTCCGGCAGGGTCGATGTCAAAAGATTGCGATGTTCCTGACATCTATTTTTCACTATTGTGCAATAAAATTATTGTATCCATCGTGTGTCGTCATCTAGCGGGATTAGTCATAACCACTACTTCCTGTGACGATTTATTCTTTAAATATACCTTCGTTCACATATGTAGTCATAAATAACAGTTTCTTGAACATTTTTATTTTATTCAGACATATTACAACCCTTGGCATATTTCTTGTTGGGTTAATTCAAATGTTAATTATCGGAATAATATTTGCCGTTACGTACCTACCGGTACTTACAGCATCCTACGGAATATTTGAGTAGATCGATATCCATGATCGATAGTTCTCTGGAGTTGGCGGGAATGTTGTGAATGTCAATTGACTGTGAGGACTGTGAGTTACGCATTTAGCCAATATAAAAGATGACTGGAAATGTCAGTTGTGAAAAGAAACTTGGAATAATGTCAGACAAATGCCATATTAATTTAAATAACGAAAGCAGTATTCCACCCACTTCTGAAAAAGTAACGAAATCAACTGGAAGAAAATCTTTTTGTAAAAGGAGATCATCGTGTTTCGACAGTTTGGGTAGGTATTTCAGATGTGTAATGTAAAGCAGTATAAATTTAAGTAAAACTTCTGTGAAATCTTAAGTGACGAATGAAGGAACGGAAGCTCCTATAAGTTCATTCGCATACAGTGTATGGATATTTACAGTCATTTTTTACGTTCATCAAAGGTTAAATTTATGGTTATGGTTATATAAAGGTTATGTTATTTTCATGAATGATGTAAACACAAATCCTGTCTGAAATTTACATTAGATTAGACTGGATTTAGTTACATAAATCTCTTTCATCACAGAAAAATATTCATGAGACCAGTATTTTGTGAATAGTGATTAGTCCTTTCCATAGCCCTTCGTTTTCCCTGTACCTCGTACGTGTTTTCATTCTCTGCCAGTCTGTGCTTTTGGTTGGTATGCCACTGGAGCAGGCAGCCAGTCTGCTTGGTTGACATGCCATTGAAGCTACTTCATTTCCTTCAGTTCTTAATACTTTCTGAATATTTATGTTTAAAATTATTATTTTTTCTTTTAGCAGTGAACAGTGGGTTTGGGAATAGCACGAACACCGAGGGTCGACTGGGAGATGTTGGAACTACGAATACTTCAGCTGAAGAGTATGAAGTCATTTGCTGTCATTCCAGTAAACAAACTATTGTTTAGGTTAAGCAGTTAATTTACTCCCTGTATGGAATCTATTATATTGATGATCTGCTCAAATTTGTAATTATGCTTGAACCACATACTCTTAAACAAGGGATGAGCTGGTTCGAGTATTGCATTGCTTTATTGACGTTATATGTGCTAGCATTATCATTTTACTCTGTAAAAGGAGGCCACAAGGTGCAATAAATATTTTAAATTTATCCAAATAACATATTTTGAAGTATAAATATTGCACATCACCACATTAGGTAATCCAGTCATGGATTGTATGTTCTTTCAGGAAATAATTTATAGAAGAGAACCCATTCAGTTCCAGAATTCTTGTGTTATAGATGTGGTATAATATTTTGTAAGACTGCATTCTGTTGTGTTTAAGTAGCTCCTAAAGGGTTGTGATGATGGTGCATAATACTCAGAATTACTAGGTTTTCTGACTTTGTCCATCTCTGGTATTCTAGAGGCTAGAAAAAACAGTGTTTCAGAAACTGGATCTGTTTCCATCCTCAGGTGAAGGGGGGAGACACCTAGTCTGTTGGGTCCCTTAGAAAGAACTAACCTCAATCACTGGACTCTCCCTCACCTGAGGGCAGCAACAGATTGTTGCTGAAATGTTGTGTTTTCTAGTTTCTAGAATACTGGACAATGGACAAAGTGTGAAATCCCAGTAATTCTTACTGCTGTGTTTATTACTTTCAAGTCATAAGATTAGCTATCACACTAAAACATTTTTGTTTTTTATGTCTAACTGTACAATACATGTTTCAACAACAGACGGTCATCAGTGGACTTGCACAAATCATCCTAATATAAATAGACTAAGTGTTAAAATGTGGAGCTATATAAATATGTAGATAAAATAATAATGAATGAGTTGAAATCTGATTTACAAAGATGATGAGCATAAAAATGACAGTGTTTTCTAAGTGTAAGTATTCTCCTCTGTATGGAATTATGTGTTTACTATTTAGTTTGATTTTATATATATGTACTCGAAGAAGACGTAAGAAGATGCTGGATGACCTTGGGGACAGAAGAGGATATTTTCATTTGAAGGAGAAAGCTCTAGATCGTATCAAGTGGAGGAACTGTTTTGGAAGAGACTGTGGACCTGTCGTCTTGACAGATTACAGTTGAATGAATGAATGAATGAATATAACTTCACACTCTTATATTAATACTCCCCCCCCCCAAAAAAATGGAACCCTAAGGTTCACTGTTTTCACAAGAGCCCTCCACTGGTTCCTATCTCAAACCAGATCAATCCAATCCATACCACCCCATCCTATCTCTATAAGATCCATTTTAATATTGACCACCCACTTACTTCTTGGTCTTCCCAGTGGTCTCTTTCCTTCTGGTTTTCCCGCCAATATCCTACATGCATTCGTCTTCACTGCCATTCGTGCTACATGCCCTGCCCATCTTATCCTCCTTGACTTGATCATTCTAATTATACTTGCCAAAGAGTACAAGTTATGAAGGTCCTCATTATGCAGTTTTCTCCAGCCTCCTGTCACTTCATCTCTCTTCGGTCCAAATATTCTCTTCAGCACCCAATTCTCAAATACCATTAGTCTGTGTTCCTCCCTTAATGTCAGACCAAGTTTCACACCCTTACAGAACCACAGACAAAATTATAGTTTTGTATATTCTAATTTTTATGTTCTTAGACAGCAGACAAGAAGACAAAAGATTCTGGACCAAATGGTAGCAAGTGTTACACAAGTTCAGTCTCTTAATTTCCTCCTGAATCAGGTTTTGATTTGTTATAGTCCTTCCCAAATTTGTGAACTGCCCCAATGCATAGCCATCTTGGTTAATCCAAGTTGAATTATAATTTCAATTTACTGAAGTGATACCTCAAAGTAGGCCATGACCAGTTCCTTTCACATCCCTTGTAATTAATTATTCATTAGTCATCCTACCATTGCACAGTATATTGTCTGAGCTACTGAGCAGTGTAAAATACACCATAAATACAAATTTGTGGGTGATCTGGCACTTGAGGTGCCAGGCTTTCATTGCAAGATTGCCTGATATATTTATGATACTGATGTAGGCCTGCTTTTGTTTTGAAATGAATGACTTGGAAACCTGACAGCTATGTTTACCCTAAAAGTATCAGCCTAAATTGAAATGGAAGGTAACAGCATATGTATTTTCAGAGAATCCATCTCAAATTGCTCAGCTGACAAACTGACTGTACTTTCTGAACAGTCGTAGTGTTGAATAACCTCCAGTTACAGCAGCTAGGTTTAAATGACAAAAAAAAGAGTATTGAAACATTATTACTATCATCTGTTCTTGGCTGAACTTCATGTAAACACCAGATATTATTTAAACTAATTAAGTGCATAGAGAAATTGGCTCTGTTCCAGGCTTATGGAGAAACTGAAATCTGAGAAACAAGCATGGCGAAGCCTGTATGAAGAAAGGAAGCAAAAATATAGAACAGTGAAAAAGTAAGTTAGACGTGGGGATTTTTTTTATTTGTATGTAGTGGTACAGTGTACTGGCAGCATATCTGAAGTAACATTGAGACTTGCAGCAGGCTTTATTTCATTGGAATGAACTTGTCCTATTTCCTCGGGTGCGATGAAGCTAGACTCTTGCTACTGTGAAGACTGCTACCCTGTTTCAAGATAATACCCATAAATTCATCGATCTCACATTTGATGACTTTTCTTGGCAGATGAGGCATGGATTTGGCAGTTGTCATATTTTCAGATTTTGTATCAAAATATTTTGACCTGATCCAGGTGAGACTTCTGACACATTAACCAGTTCATAAATGGTGAGATCCCTGTTACTGTAAATAAGTACCCTAACTTGTATCATATTTTCTTCCACTTTTTCTTGTTGATGGACACTAAATTTCAGCGCCTTTGGCAGATGTCATTCCTCTTTTAAATTCTAAAAAACCACAAGAATATTTGGGAGTGCTGGGTAAGTGTAGTTGATATAGTGACTGGCTATGGGCTGGAAAAACAAGGGGTCGGAGTTTGAGTCCCAGTGGGGTCAAGAATTTTCACTTCTCTATGTCATCCAGACCGGCTCTGAGGCCCACCCAGTCTTCTGTTCAGTGGGTACTGGTGTCTTTCCCCAGGGGTAAAGTGGCTGGGGCATGAAGCTAACCTCACCTCCAGCTAGTTCTGAGGTCAACAAAACTGGTTCTTTACATCCAGTCCCCCTTATGTCCTTGTGGTGTAGTGCTTGAGAACTTTACCTTTTACTGGAATGAGTTCTGAACATTGTTTCCCCTATTAAAGCAAGTTTTAACATGTTGTTGGTTTCCATAACAGTTTTGCTGACAGAACTTGATACACATGAACTTTTCTTTATTATCTGTAAATTATTTACCACTTCTGAATGATACTGGACTTCAACAGAAAGTGATTCAGCTGGCTGTTCTGTTATCTAGTAGAGAAACTCTGTACTAAACACAGTAATATCACCATGCAGCCAGGCTCAACCGTATTTCATTATGCAGGTCGCAGTTTCACATGCAGCATAGTTTTTCACTCCATTGAATTTATTATGCATCTCCTATATAGAACTTTATATAATAACTGCAATCAGTAAACAGAATTATGTATCAAAGTATTTGCTGCCAGTCCTATCACCTGACCCATGCTGGAGCCAGTACCATCAAATGAGAGATTATTGTGAATGTAATTTTCACCTACAAATATCGTTGAAATGAATAAGTATAGCTTGTTAAAGCTTCAAAGATTTCAAATACAAGCAGTTCTTGAATTGTTTTCAAATTTTCATTTCAGTTTCTATTTTAAACACATTGGGCATGGTAATGAATGGGTTAAAAGTGTAAAATTTAATCTTGATATCTTGTTTAATCTCAGCTTGTTACAGAGCCGGGATACATCAGTTGGTAGAGTGATGGGCTGGATGGCCAGGATTCAATTCTTGGGAGGGGCAAGGATCTTTTTCTCTATGGCGTCCAGACCAGCTCAGGCCCACCAAGCCTCCTATCCAATGGGTGTGGGGACTCTTTTCCTGGGGGTAAAGTGGCTGGAGCATTAAGCAGACCACTCGTATATCCACTTAGGGCCAAAGTCAATAATGGTGGAACTATACCTCCACTCCCCTGTATGTGTTCACAGTGTGGTGCTAAATTAAGCATAAGGACAACTTTACCTTTATCTTTAGCTTATCAATTCAAAATTCTTGTCTTTGGGTTATTAGCTTACATGTGTAAATGTTGCTTTCAGGTATTTAAATTCTGAGCCTCTTAAACTCGACTGGAACAATTGTGCAGATGTTCTGCCGGATGAAGATAAACAGTTTCTTAGTGATCGACCAGACTATGAAAAGATTGTTTCAAAGATGAATCATGTGTGTGAAATGGCATCCATCTGCATGCACATGAAGCATAAATCTGCTCATACATCCAATAAAATAATAGGAATAGCAGAACAACAGGTAGCAGCTATTAAGAAGAAAATATTTAAACATGCAGAGGCATATTATACATGATGACTCAGGAAGAACTTTGATCTTGTTTAGATTTGCCTGATTTGCACAGGATGGCACATGAAGTATCATTTATGTCTGATTTTTCACAAAGTAGGAATGTGTCAGAAAATTTCAGTAAATATCAGATTTCATAAAAATCTATTTGGCTGTTCTTGAGTATGTGCACAGGTATGGTGAAGCCAACAGGTGCACATTTCCAACTATTCATTGCAAATGTGGCAGAAAGAATATAAAAAGGAGACAGTTTAAATTATAACAAAGTAACACTTGTAGAATCATGCTTAATTATATTTATCTTAATTGAATGTGTATTTATATTTGTGTAGATCTTTAAATTCAGGTGCGAGGAAGCTCTGTTTAATTACTGTCAAGAATAAGAGACTGGTGATAATCTTCTGTTTGAATACCATCATTCATTGCTGAAGTTTTTTAAATACAGGCATATCATTCACTGTCTTTTATTTATCTCGAACCCTGTAACATTTACAGAAATGTTGTAGTGGACACAAAATGCATGTTTCATTTTTTTTTCCCCTCTACAACTTCTGTTCAAAGCAGATTTTGCGCTGATGAAATATCTAGAAGAGCTATGGACAAACTGGGTGCAGAAATTCATATGTCTTTATATATAAATAGCCTGTTATTTTAGTCCAGTTTTAGCCATAATTTGGAGGCACGCGGTAGCATAGTTGGTTGAGGCACTATGCTACAAGTCAGAAGGTCGCGGGTTCAAGTCCTGGTGAGGTCATTGGATTTTTTTCAATTGACCTAATCCTTCCGGCCGCACTATGGCCTTGGGGTTGACTCAGCCTCTAACAGAAATGAGTACCAGGAATTAATTAATTAAATTTTCGTGGGGAGTAAAGCACGGCCAGCGCGTAAGGCTCACAACCTTACCGCCATCATTGAGCCAATTGTCTAGATAATGTGGGACCCTCAATGTCTCACAACCCTATGGGCCTTCACGGCCTCTTACAGGGATAGCTTTACTTTTTTTTAGCCATAATTTAAATGTGCTGAAAATTTTGACAGAGCTGCTAAAATATAAAATTTCATGAAAATCAATTTACTGGATCTTGAAACTTTGTGTGTATGGATGAATGAAACTGTTTTAATAAGGACTCTGTAGGAATGAGTATATGCCTTATCATTTTAAATAGTTATGTATTTTGTCTAAATGTTCCAGATCTCTTTTCTTATATCCTGTGTTTCACATTCGCTGAAGTACTCATAAGGGTGAATGGTTCAAGGTGATTGTAGATTAAGAAAAATGATTTGTGAAGAATGGATTCATGATTCAGATACAGCATTTTCCATCCATTACTGACCAATGTTTCACATTCTTTCAAGATGTGTTTTTGAATAACTGTCTGGATCTTCCATCTTTTCTATCTTCAAACTTAATATGCAATAATAATACTCATGACATGTTTGTGTAACATTAGAAACAAGAGAATTGTGAAATGTGCTCATCTGGATGAGGGCACATAATATTAGAAGCAAAGGACCAATCAAATGTACAGCTTAGAAAGATATGAAGCTGTAAGAAGTGTAACTGATATAGGTTAACAGATATAGTACTGTAACACTAGATAAAGAACCAAATATCAAATTGTACATATTTGTTCAATTCTGTTCCACTCTCTGTACTGGGAAGCAAACAGCATGCTGGCCATCAGTTTTTGCCATAATTTTATTGTATGACAAATTAGCTACTTTCATATGCATCAGGGCTATTAAACTCATGGTACAGAGGCCACAATTGCTTCTTTCAGCCCAGGAGTGTGTGTCAATGCTTCACTCCTCTTTAAGAATATCAGATAATTTTTTAAACTGACTTCACATGACGACTAATAACTTAAAACATGGAGGGACCAGAAGCAGAGGGTGCTGCTATCTGATGGGATGGGGCCCTGTGGTTAAGAAGAAAGGTTTGAAGGAAGATAAAATTAAGCTGTAGCATTTAAGGTTCTCACAGCGGTGCTTCTATCTTCTGGTTTATAATACTGCATGTAAGTTATCTCTGTAACAGGATGTGAGCCTATAGGGTTGTGAGACATCAAGGCTCCCATATTTTTCTAGACAGTCGGCTTACAGATAGTAGTGTGATTGTCAGCCTTATGCTCCGGTCACCCTTTACGCCCCAGGAAGATTCCTGCTACTCATTTCTGTTGGAGGCTGAGTTGACCCCAGGTCCATAGTGGGGCTGGAAGGATTAGTTCAATTGAAAAATCCACTGACCTCATTGGGAACTGAACCTGCAACCTTCTAGCTTGTAGAATAATGCCTCAACCAACTACGCTTCTGCATGCCCCCGTAGTGTAGTCTATTGGAAGTCACCTGCTCTCACCCTGGTTTCTTGCTTGGCTTATTATTCAATCCTGAAGACTGGGCAACATTTTCCTGCAAAATGTCAATTGACTTTTAATGGACAACACAGCGTTATATCCCAGAAGACAGAACTCTTTAAAATTAAGCTGTATGTATCTCTCTTCACAGCTGAAATTGTGGGATTGGTTGACTTTCTATGGCTGCACTGATAATGTAGGCATGGTCAGTCTTGATATTAGGTTCATTGCTGTCGAAGCTGATAATGCGTTTCATCAAGTCTGGTGTCTCTGATGTGTCCCAGTACCCTTGGAGATGTGGCAGCAAGTCTGACTATGTACATTAAGAAGTGTTCTGTCCCTCATTGATGGTATGTGGATCACCATTCTGTGGAAAGGTTTACAGATAGTGTGGGTTCCTTCCCCCACCCCTTGTCTTTGTGTGTACAGTGGAACCTCACTTAACGAGTAATTCGCATAACAAGCAAAACAAATTGTAAAAGAATGACTCACTTAACAAGTGACATTTCGCATGAGTGACGAGAGGGGAAGTCCTGGATTGTGCGCTTGCTACATCAGTCTGTTTAGCACCCGTTCCGCTAGCCCAGTGCTGTCCAACGTTCTTGTGTACTCGGGGCACAATTCACTGATGCGTATGGAGGTGCGGGCGCCACCACACTACTACTAGTACTAGTACTACTACTACTACTACTTAATACTACTATTTCTACTACTTCTTAATACTACTACTAATAATAATTCAATTCGTGTTTATTTATGTGCAAACTTAACAGCACAGTGGCCACTTACAAAGTTAGCACGAGTACATAGAAATACACAAAAATTAAAGAGCAAAATAAAAAATATGACAGTCTATACAATATCAGTAAATTAGTAACAATTCCAAGAAAAGAAAACAAAAAAAAATAAAATAATTTAGCCTTAACAGGCGAGAAAAATAAAATAAATACATTTCGAATGGTTATTCCATTATGTGATGAGAAAGGACAATACACATACATACACACATAGAAGTTAATAATAATAATAACAACCCAATTAATTCTTATTTATTCGTGTGGCAGCTCAACATCCTAATTTAAAACAATTCAATTCATGTTTAATTACATACAACTTAACAGCACAGAGGCCAATTAAAAGGTTAGCATGAGTACATAGAATTACATAAAAATAATTAAAAAACAAATACAAAATTTGAGAGTCTACATAATGACAATAGATTAATAATAATGCCAAGAAAAATAAAGTTAAC